CATATTGGACTCCTCTAGGTAAAAGTTCGGCCATCAAGTTCGTGGGGCGCCTGGGTGGCTCCGTCGGTTGAGCGTCCGACTTCAGCTCTGGTCATGATCTCACACTCTGTGAGTTCGAGCCCCACATCGGGCTCTGTGCTGACAGCTCAGAGCCTGGAGCCTGCTTCGGATTCTGTGTCTCCCTCTCCCTCTGCCCCTCCCCTGCTCATGCTCTGTCTCTCTCTATCTCAAAAATAAATAAAAACATTAAAAACATTTTTTTTAATTAAAAAATTTAAAAAAGTTCAGCCATCAAGCCATATCTACCTCCATGGGCCTAGTTTCCAATAAAAACCTGTTCCAGATGGGGCTCCTGGGTGGCTCAGTCAGGTGCGCGTCTCTTACTTTCTGCTCAGGTCATGATCTCGCGGTTTCGTGGGTTCGAGCCCCATGTCGGGCTGTGTGCTGGCAGCTCAAAGCCTGCTTGGGATTCTCTCTCTCCCTCTCTTTCTCCCTCTCCCCAACTCGTGCCGTCTCGGTCTCTCTCAAAATAAATGAATAGACTTAAAAAAAAAATAAAAACCTCTTCCAAGAACTTCATGGGACAGTGTAACGGTTTCTCTGTGTCTGCTTTTGTTAAGCAGATATCTAAGACCTAAAATCTTCTTCTTCTTATTCCTGACTGTGACATTCCATATTTGGGGACACTACTTATAACGGATAGTGGCTTTGAATCACAAAAACGTGTTCCATCTTGGTCTTAATCAAACCTCAGAAATGTCAGCTGCTAAAGAAGAGGGGCATTGGATTGGAGGCCGAACTCTTGACCGACGGGCTTGATTTTCACTATTTTAGTGTTTCATATACTGGTCGGGACAAGACAGAACTTGGGTCTTAAAGAGCTATGGGCTCACTTTACTTCTTTCATCAAAGTCATCCTCTGGCAGGGAAGTATTACTCCCAGGCTGGCCGTGTGGCGATTCACAGCTTTTCTGGTGTATTATCAAGACTTACCAGGTGGGGAGCAACTAGAACTCTCATTCATTGCTCAGGGGGGAAAGGGATTGTCACAAAATGGTATCTGGGTATCTGCCTTAGAGACATGAAAACCTATGTCCACAGAGACTTGTATGCAAATATCCACAGCAGCATTATTCATAATAGCAGAAAAGTGAAACAACCCAAATGCTTATCCACTGGTGAATGGATAAGCAAAATATGGCATATCCGTACAATGGAATACTACTCAGCAATCAAAACTAATGAAGTACTAAGACCGTCCTTACACACAGGTGAACCTTGAAAACATGACGCTCCATGAAAGAAGCCAGACACAAAAGGCTCCCTATTTTATGATTCCATTTATTTTGTTTTAATTTTTTTAAACGTGTATTTACTTTTGAGACAGAGAGAGACAGAGCATGAACAGGGGAGGGACAGAGAGAAAGGGAGACACAGAATCTGAAACGGGCTCCAGGCTCTGAGCTGTCAGCACAGAGCCCGACGCAGGGCTCGAACTCACGGACCGCGAGATCATGACCTGAGCCGAAGTCGGACGTTTAACCGACTGAGCCACCCAGGCGCCCCTATGATTCCATTTATATGGAACGTCCAATCTAGAGAGATAGGAAAGTAGATCAGTAATTGCCTGAGGCGGAGAGCAGGAAATAGAGAGTGATTACAAATGGAAACGTTTCAAGATTGTATTCGCTTTCTTCGCACACCGTGTAACTGGGTGTGGAATGAAGTGCTTTCTCTTCTCAGCATGTTAGATGAAGCTTTCAAGCTGAGAACAACTCTGAGGGTGCCGCAAACAAGCCCACAGTGGTAGCCAGACAGAACTGGCAATCATCTACTCCCAGTGGCTCATAGGATGGAAGTGAAATCTCATTAGAGGAGAACAGTGTATCCGTGCACCTGTTCGCCAGCTCCTTAACAAAGGCTTTTATTAATAGAGACATCTGAATATCACAGCAGGTGGATGGCTGTCTCGAATTACAGCTGAGTGTTGACTTGCTCGACTCTCTTCCCAACAACTTCAATCACAAAAGCAGGAACTGGCACCAGACTAATGGAGGCCAACTTCTTTAATGGCCTCATGGGGTTTTTGAACCACACTCTGTCCATAATTAAATTCCTTCCTCATACCACCAGTTTTTGGATGGGCATGTATATAAACTGTAGAGAGCGGTTATTTTGCTGCTGCTGTTGTTGTTGTTGTTGTTGTTGTTGTTATGTCTTTCTTTTAAAAATGAGAAAAGTTGGCAGTTGTGAAGGAAGTTGGTATTTTTTCTTTACAAAGTTTTTTAAATGTTTTATTTATTTTTGAGAGAGAGAGAGAGCGAGAACAGGAGAGGGGCAGAGAGAGAGGGAGACACAAAATCTGAAGCAGGCTCCAGGCTCCAAGCTGTCCGCACAGAGTGGGGCTCGAGCTCGTGAAGCATGAGATCATGAGCTATAAAGTCAGACACTTGACTGACTGAGCCATCCAAGTGCCCCTCGCCGTCTTAAGCTTATTAAATGTGAAAGGAATTTCATCCATGCTTGCTTTCTTTAAAAGTTTAAAACGAGGGGCGCCTGGGTGGCGCAGTCGGTTAAGCGTCCGACTTCAGCTCAGGTCACGATCTCGCGGTCCGTGAGTTCGAGCCCCGCGTCGGGCTCTGGGCTGATGGCTCAGAGCCTGGAGCCTGTTTCCGATTCTGTGTCTCCCTCTCTCTCTGCCCCTCCCCCGTTCATGCTCTGTCTCTCTCTGTCCCAAAAATAAATAAAAAACGTTGAAAAAAAAATTAAAAAAAAAAAAAGTTTAAAACGAAATTCTTCCCTGATATTAGTCCTATGCCTGTGAAGTCAGGGATTCTTTCTTCACCAGCTGACATGTTTTTAAAGATTTTTTTAAATGTATGTTTCTTTCTTTCTTTCTTTCTTTCTTTCTTTCTTTCTTTCTTTTTTTCTAATATGAAATTTATTGTCAAATTGGTTTCCATACAACACCCAGTGCTCATCCCAACAGGTGCCCTCCTCAATACCCATCACCCACCCTCTCCTCCCTCCCACCCCCCATCAACCCTCAGTTTGTTCTCAGTTTTTAAGAGTCTCTTATGTTTTGGCTCCCTCCCTTTCTAACCTCTTTGTTTATAGCAGCACCTTCAACAGTAGCCAAGTTATGAAAAGAGCCTAAATGTCCATCTACTGATGAATGGATGAAGACATTGTGGTTTATATACACAATGGAGTACTACGTGGCAATGAGAAAGAACGAAATATGGCCCTTTGTAGCAACGTGGATGGAACTGGAGAGTGTGATGCTAAGTGAAATAAGCCATACAGAGAAAGACAGATACCATATGGTTTCACTCTTATGTGGATCCTGAGAAACTTAACAGAAGGCCATGGGGAGGGGAAGGAAAAAATAATAATAAATGTTTATTTATTTTTGAGACAGGGAGAGACAGAGCGTGAGCAGGGGAGGGGCAGAGAGAGAGGGAGAGACAGAATCCAAAGCAGGCTCCAGGTTCTAAGCTGTCAGTAGAGAGCCCGACGCGGGGCTCCAACCCACAAACCGCGAGATCATGACCTGAGCCGCAGTCAGACGCTTAACCGACTGAGCCACCCAGGTGCCCCAATAATAATAATAATAATTAATAATGCAGTACAGACAGAGTTTGGCTAAAGGACCTGTGTTTTTTCTAGATTTCATATATTATTCTTCAGCAATGTCTTGTGGGTTCTCCTATGTCTTGGTGATAAGAGACATTATAGAACATTATGCACAGAATACAGTAAACATTGTTCTCACAGAACTTTCTCCATTAATGGCAAAATGAGATGGCACAGCATTTTACCATTCTGTCTTTTAACACTGCTAGCGAAGAATGGAATACGGAGAGAGATTTGAAGGTTTCCTCCTAAAAGAGAATCATAGAAAGTGTCTCGTGGTGATTTATGTTTTCTTCACATGTCACATGTCCAGGACCAGGGGGACAACATTCCTTCACTGTGGAATCAGATGCTTCTACACGATTTTGCTGGGGTTTGTTTTTGTTTTTGTTTTTTCCTAATGGGAAACCCCTCCTAAGAATGGTATGAGACTTAAAGGCTTGCAGCTAGGGGGCACCTGGGCGGCTCAGTCGGTTAAGTGTCTGACTTCGGCTCAGGTCATGATCTCACGGTTCGTGAGTTCGAGCCCCTCATCCGGCTCTGTGCTGACAGTTCGGAGCCTAGAGCCTGCTTCAGGTTCTGAGTCTCCCTCTCTTTCTGCCCCTCCTCTGCTCGCGCTCTGTCTCTCTCTGTCTCAAAAATAAATACACATTAAAAAAAAAATAAGACTTGCAGCTAATTATCTGAGCTGTATTAGAGCCACAGGTCCAAGAAGCCAGCTCTACACCCTTTGAGTCATGATTGCAAGCATTTGCACTGTGCTGTGCAGCTCCCCAAGGGACGTAATGACTTCCTCCACCCAGTACTTGAAGCGACCTAAACCAAAGCATTTCTTTTCTTTCATTCTTTTTTTTTTTTTTTTATACCCCCTTCCCCCTCCCTCTGGTGTATGGCAAAGCAACGTTACATTTGGAAGAGCTAGAAATTCCTGCGGCCCAGTCTGTGCTGGCAGACGGCAGCAGGACTGGCCTGAAGGCTGCCGGACCAGATCAAAGCTCAGAGGCTGTGCTTTGTTGCTGTCCTTGGCAGAAAAACACTGTGCTCCTTATCACTGCATGTTCCTCCGCCAAAAGCCCGAGGAGTGAGATGTGATCACTCGTGAAAATTACTCGGCGCCGTAATAACCAGGGAAGGTACTGTCCTACCTCATCCTCCGGGTGGCCGAGGGACTTGTACGAGAGGATGTTAACCCTTCGGAAGGACTACGCCGCCGCTCTTAAATACACACCTTGTCCCTGGGCTCCGAGATGACTCCTGGGGCTTCTTCGTTGTTGCCGGTCGACCGTGTCACTCTTTCCCTGCTCTCTGTCTGTCTTTCCCCAGGCCTGATGTGGTTTTTTGTTTTTTCTCCCACTCTGTTGCAGGGCTCATCGTGGGCGTGATCCTGAGGTATGGCACCCCTGCCACCGGTGGTCATGACAAGTCAGTGAGCTGTACTCAGGAAGACAGGGCCTTCAGCACCTTATTAGTGAACGTCAGTGGGAAGTTCTTCGAATACACCCTGAAAGGAGAAATCGGCCCTGGCAAGATCAACAGCGTAGAGCAGAATGACATATTGAGGAAGGTGAGCTGGGGACACTCAGCCACTGCTGCCCTGCCAGGGGTGTTTGACTTTCCGACTCCATGTCGACCTTGGCAAGAGAAATCCTTTCAGACTCCTGGAGCATTGGTAACATTCCTGGCTCTCAGTTTGGCTTAGGAAGCTTTTTCTTTTTTTATGATTATTTTATTTTGGAGAAAGAAAGAGACAGAGTGGGAGTGGGGGAGGGGCAGAGAGAGAGGGAGACACAGAATCCGAAGGAGGCTCCAGGCTCCCGAGCTGTCAGCACAGAACCCGACGCGGGGCTCGAACCCCCGAACCGCGAGATCATGACCCGAGCCAAAGTCGGATGCTTCACCATCTGAGCCACCCAGGTGCCCAGAAGCATTGCAGTTTTAATTAGGCTGCTTAACATTTCCAGTTTCTAAAGAGACATGCTAACTTGGCTTTTAATAATTAAAGTGAAGCTTTAAGGTTAATTTCAGTAAGAGCCCGTCCATCTGCCAACATGAACAAATTCTTGAAGTTTGGGAGGTTTATAGACTGCTTCATTCTTCTCTAGATGTGATAAGATTTTGCTCTTTTATAATAGTTTCAGGGTGATTTCCCCGTATCAAGCCTAGAAGGTAATTTCAGTCACCCTAGAGCTGTTGAATTTTTATGTTGATGTTCAGAAAGCCTCTAGTGTCATTGTAGACTTTGATCCAGGCAACATCAAGTCTCACAAAAGGCTGGTCCTCAAAAGAGACTTAAATTCAGTAGAATTATGTCTATAAATGAATCTGTGGGAGGATCCAGAAAATTAATAAAGAACCATGACAGCATCTTCTATTGCAGTGGAACCTTGAATAAAGGTTTGATAAAAATCAAGCTTTTTATTTCTTGTTTAAAAACATTGGCCAAAAAAACCCCCAAACCATTGGCCCGAAGCTTTCTGGGAAATCTCAGATCGCACTGAACTGTTGTTGTTTTTTTTAATTTTTTAAATGATTATTTATTTTTGAGGGAGAGAGAGACAGAGCACGAGTGGCGGAGGGGCAGAGAGAGAGAGAAGGAGACACAGAATCTAAAGCAGGCTCCAGGCTCTGAGCCGTCAGCACAGAGCCCGACGCAGGGGCTCGAACCCACGAACTGTGTGATCATGACCTGAGCCAAAGTCTGACGTTTAACCGACTGAGCCACCCAGGTGCCCCAAACTGTTGTTTCTTAATATGTATTAAACAACACACCAAGAGCAGGAGTGGCTTCTCTGTTGTGATGAGTCCATGATTTTTCACATCTGTCTTATTTGCTTTAAACATTGAAACTTTAGTCAGTGGCTTAAAATATTAAGCAAATATTATAGCACCAACTGGTACTAAACTGGAAATTGACTTTTTTTCTTTTTAAACTTTCAGGTAACGTTTGATCCAGAGGTCTTTTTCAACATTCTCCTGCCTCCGATTATTTTCCATGCCGGCTACAGTTTAAAGAAGGTAAGAGATTTTTGCCAGTATTTCTTAAAGCATGGGAGTCTCTGTGTTCATGTACCTACACAATTTTCTAGTTTTTCCCTTCTCCCAGATTGCTTATCACTGTGTTCTGCACCCACTCAGAGACTATATTTGTCTCATCATCAGTGATTGGTTTCTCTTTTAAAATCTGGAGTGCTCCCACATTGCCGGTAGGAATATAAAATGGTGTAGCCTCTCAGGAAAACAGTTTCAGGTTCCTATAAAACCAAAGTTGCAATCACCATACGACCCAGCCATTTAATTCCCGAGGGTTTATCCCAGAGAGATGAAAACTTACGTTTGCACAAAAACCTGGGCACAATTCTCCGTAGCAATTTTATTTGTAACAGCCCCGAACTGGAAACAACCAAAATATCTTGCAATACGTGAACGGTTAATCAAACACCCATACCATGGAATACTATTCGGCAATAAAATAGAACAAGCTATTGACACACGCAATAATTTGGATGGATCTCACAGGCATTATGGTGAGTGGGAAAAAAAATCCAACCTCAAAAGATCACGGACTGTATGATTTCATGTAATAGCATTCTAGAAATGACAAAAGTATAGGGACGGGGAACAAATTAGTGGCTGCCTCGGGCTGGGGATGGTAGAGGTAGGGAGTGTGGCTATAAAAGGACAGCCTGAAAGAGATCTTTGTGGTGATGGAAAAGTTCTGTATCCTGATACAGCAATGGATACGCAAGTCTACACGTGATAAAATGACATAGAACTATTTTTTTAACGTTTATTTGTTTTTGAGAGAGAGACAGAGACAGAGCCTGAGCAGGGGAGGGGCAGAGAGAGAGAGGGAGACACAAAATCCACAGCAGGCTCCAGGCTCCGAGCTGTCAGCACAGAGCCAGACGCGGGGCTCGAACCCACAAACAACGAGATCATGAGCTGAGCCAAAATCGGATGCTTAACTGACTGAGCCACCCAGGCGCCCCCAGTTTCCTGGTTTTGATATTGTACTACAGTTACATAAGGTATGGCACCTGGATGGCTCAGTGAGTTAAGCAGTTAAGCGCCCAATTTGTGATTTCGGCTCAGGTCGTGATCTCATGGTTCCTGAGTTCGAGCCCCATGGCAGATTGTGTCTGTTCCTCTTTGTCCCTCCCCCACTTGCACACTCTGTCTGTGTCTGTCTGTCTGTCTGTCTGTCTAAATAAATAAATAAATAAATAAATGGAACCAAATCACTGGTTGTAAGAGCTGCTCTAATGGCTGAAAAACACTTTGGGTTCTACAGAGCCTTCCCTGTATCAGACTTATTTCCTCAGAAGGAGAACAAATAACAGGCTTTGCCAGTTACCAATTTAAGTTGTTTTTATTTTTTTAATTTAATTTTATTTTTCAAACATGTTTTAAATGTTTATTTTTGAGAGAGAGAGAGAGAGAGAGAGAGACAGAGCACGAGCGGGGGAGGGGCAGAGAGAGAGAGGGAGACACAGAATCCGAGGCAGGCTCCAGGCTCCGAGCTGGCAGCACAGAGCCCGACGCGGGGCTCGAACTCATGAACTGTGAGATCACGACCTGAGCCGAAAGCAACAGTCAACCACCTGAGCCTAAGTTTTTAAGATGGCAGTCTTTCAGGCTGCCTACTGTTCATTCAGTCACTTTCCTTTTTAGATAGTCCTTATAAAGGCACTGAAATAGCTGGGTTTTGTCTGGTTTTGCCACCTGTGATTAAACCTGTTATCAATTAAATGTGTAATAACTCACCACTTAAAGGTAGCTACGGAGACAGATATTCAGACCCTTTGACCTATGCACATATAGTTATCAGGGGGACTTGGGCCTTTTTTTTTTCCCCCTAACCTGAACAAACGATCATTGGAATTAGCTTTGATTCGGTCCCGGCCATGGGGAGCCACACATGACTGGCCAAATGAGAACAGGGTGAAAGACAGAGGATTCCACCAGAATCCGGTCCTAGGGCCAGGAGGTGCTGTGCTTTCTTCCCTACGAGGATGTGGTTCTGGAGCCCTTCGACGTCTTGCATCTACACTGTATGTGAAAGCACTTTGGAAGCTGTGAGGCACATAATTAAGTACTGAGTGTAATGAGACACAAATAAGTGGCCTGGCATACCTTTCTTTTCAAGGTATGCCAATTCATATCAGCAAATACGAACAGAGACGGGTAGTTTGTGTGTGTGTGCGTGCGTGTGTGTGTGTGTGTGTGTGCGTGTGTGTGTGTGTGAGAGATTTTAGGATATGGCATGGGGGTGTTTGGGGTGGCAGATTTATATTCCTAATGTTTTGTTTGGGAAAATAATCACGCATATGAATTTACTTAACATATTCAAAGTAACCCTAGGGATGGTTACCCAGAAGAAAGCAAAAAAAAAAAAAGACTGGAGACAGTGACTGATTTAAAAGGCAGACATAATGTGTGCATAATATATACAGGCAGCACCCCCATTTGGTGACTGCTGGTGTGGCAAGCCCTTGGAGGATTCTCTTCTGAGCAGGTGGCTTAGGGGCCCTAGGCCTTCCTTGACACCTTCTTCACAGCTTCAGAGAGGGCCAAGCACTGGGCACTTCGTGGTGGCTGCTTTGATCATGCTGAGTTCTTTCCAAGCCCTGTCTTTCCCTGATGTCGCTCAGCTGGTACACTGGGACTCTCCTGCCTTTTAAAATTCTTAGATGAAGTCTTCCTGGCCCCTATTGAATTAGGGTGTTTGGGGGTTTATGGTTCGTCTGGTTTTGTTAAATAGTTCTCATTGCCCCGATGAGAGCAGCTTATGCCTTGACGAGTAAGAACCATGGCTCAGGGTCCTAAGAACCCCAAGGACAGGGACTTTCCACATCAGAATGTCCCATGGGCATAATAACTTATAAGAGCTAAAGCCGTGTGTGTGTGTGTGTGTGTGTGTGTGTGTGTGTGTGTGTGTGTGTGAAGGTAACCAGTGAATGTACAGAAGCATTGAGAGCATTGCAATTTTGCCATCTATTTCTGAATAATTGCTAGATCTTACACTGGTATAAGCATATAAACTTATACACATATATATATAAACTTACACATGGGCCCAGATTAAACGGAGCTACCTATGTTTCAGTTCTCCACTTCTGTTTTTATTGGCCCTCTTTCCCAGGCTGCAAAGATAAATCCAGAAGAATATCAGGAGATATTTCCGATGCCATGAGGCGGATACTGAGGACACTGTTTTCTGATACTGAATTTAGCAGAAAGCTCCTTAGACAGCACTTTCATACTTTATCAGTTTGAAACTTATATCTGTAATGATCTAAGGTACACCACCACCAGAAGTTACCAGTAAATAGATTGGGCTAAATCTATGAAAATGATTGGTCTACTTACACTCACTCACTCACTCTCTCACATACACTTTCTTGTTTCCTCAGTGATTAGTGGGACAAGGGATATTTTAAAACCACAATGTTTATAGCTAAACAGCTTTATTCAGGAGTAATTTCACTTCTTACTTGTTATAATGGAGGCAGTAAGTAAAGTCTCACTTTCAAGAGACTTTTACTGTGTTTCTCATGCTCAGTATCAAAAAATCACAATGTGATTCCTGCCTTTTGTTTTCTGTAGAGACACTTTTTCAGAAATCTCGGGTCTATTCTGGCTTACGCTTTCTTGGGGACTGCCGTTTCCTGCTTCATTATTGGGTAAGTTGCTCTTTGTCATTAACCAAATTAACATTCCCAAAGAGATGAGATCCACATGGGTCCACAGAGTTGGTGTTTTCCCCAGCTGTACTGAAATACACTTGACACATTCCATCCTGGGAGCTTCAAGTGGACAGTGCGTTGATTTGATACATTTAGAAATTGCACAGTCATTACCACCATCGTATTAGCTACCACCTTCAGCCTGTCACATCGTTACCATTTCTTTCTTGTGATGAGAACATTTGAGACCTACTCTCTTAGCAAAATTCAAGTATGCAATACAGTATTATTAGCTATAATCACCATGTCGTACGTTAGATCCCCAAACTTGTTAATCATCTAACCGGAAGTTTGTTCCCTTTGAGCAACATCTCCCCGTGTCCCCTGACCCCCACCCCAGCCCCTGAACACCAGCAGAGCCCAGGATTTTGATGTTTATGATGATGTTTCGATGTTTATGACACATAGCTATTTAAATTAAGACTAGGCTTAATTAAAATGAAATAAAATTACACCTAGTCCCCCAATCTTGATTCCTGATAACATTCTCCAATAAAAAGAAGCAGGACGCCTTGCAGAAATCGCAGATTCTAGGGCTAGGGCAGCAAATACATGAGATAAGAACAGGGCATAGATAGCACAGTGCCAAAAAAAGCAAGAAAGCGCCCAGAAAACAGACACATGGAAGAACTTAGAGCATGTCAAAGAGACACAGAGCCAACCTGAAAGTTCCCCCAAGGCCAATGGCCAAAGAACAACAAAATAACATCGTACTGGTCCCAAACCATGAAGCAAACCTCTGAGTGTCTACTGATGTAGACACTGCTGATTGGGCGAGGGGCGCCTGGGTGGCTCAGTCGGTTGGGCGTCCGACTTCGGCTCAGGTCGTGAGCTCACGGCTTGTGGGTTCAAGCCCTGTGTCGGGCTCTGTGCTGACACCTCGGAGCCTGGACCCTGCTTCGGATTCTGTGTCTCCCTCTCTCTCTCTCTGCCCTTCCCCTGCTCATGCTCTGTCTCTCTCAAGAATAAATAAACATTAAACATTTAAATAAAATAAAAAAATAAATAAATGATTGGGAGAATAAATAAATGGGGGAGAGGTGACGGATCTCCTGTGCAGAAGAGTTCCAAATAAGGTATGTCGATCCCCGCCCCCACCCTGCAGGTGAAGGAATGTACCTCCCCTCCTGCTCTGTTTGCAGGCTGTTCGCAGTGATTTCCTTCCTTCCACGGAGTACAGGGAGGGGGGTTTGCAGGCAGTAGTGGTAAATCGCACTGATACTCTGCCCCCTTGATGTTTGTGATGACAGTGGCACTTTACCCCCCGCCAAACACATTACCTTGGTGTAGTCATGAGAAAAAAGTCCAACGCGTCCCAGCTGAGGGACATTCTACAGAGCGCCTGACCAGTGCTCCTCAAAACTGCCAAGGTCATCAAAAACCACACGAGGTCTGAGAGATTGTCACAGCCAGGAGGAGACTAAAGAGACATGAGGGCTCAGTGTCGTGTGGTATCCTGGCTGGGATCCTGGAACAGAAAAGGGACGTTAGGTAAAAGCTGAGAAAATCTGAAGAAAGTGTGGACCTTAGTTAATTTTTAAAAACTTAGCCGGAAAGCTGGAGATACAAGGCCAGGGCCTTCCATGTGGCCAGAATAGAAGGGGCTCAGGCTTTGTCCTTTTTGAGAGAGACGAGCCATGGAAGAGTGACAGCTTAGATTACTGGCATGGGTGGCCAGATGGGAAAAGGCCGCCAGAGAGAAGCCCAGCGCCCGAGTCTTAAGTCTGGGGGAGAAGGAAAGGGTGAGGCACGTGTGGTTCTCAGGAAATGTTTGAAAGGTAATTGACGAACAACACAAGGCAAATCAAAAGTGTATCTCAGAGTTACTGGGAATTAAAATTGAACAGTGTATCGTTCTGGGCGTCCGGGGTGCAAAGGAGAGGAGCCACGACGTGGCCCTTACCAGCAAGAGTATCATGATGAGAGCCTTAGCTGTAGCGTACAATGAGTCTATTCTGTGGTTATTTTTACTCCCCTAACCCCTGCAGCTGCCATCACCACACACACACACACACACACACACCCTTAGTGACATGTACTAGGCCTTTGAACACTCCTCACTCCTCCCATTTTGTGAGCTCTCCTGTAGGAAGTGTGCTGTAGCCAAGTTGAAATGTTTAACTTGGTGGCCTGTCTCGGGCCATGGCGCATCCTGCACAGTACAAGCAGAGAAGGAGAGGCCGCATGTGTCAATGGGTGCACTGGTATTTCACTACCACATTTAGAGAATTTGGAAACCCGTCCCAGCCGAGAAGGTGGAATGCTTAGACCTCTGTGGCCCACCCGGTTTTTCTCTCTCTCTCCAGCTTCACCCTGTGCACTCATTTCCGCAGCGTTACACTGTCTTAGAACCCTGTGAGTTTCGTGGCAATCTATCACCCACGATGCAGCGTTCTTCCTCTGCCTTAAAGTCGTTGCTAACCGAGGCCCGCGCTTTATAGCTGTGAGTAAGCACAACTTTGAGAAATCGAGTAGGCATTCAGATGTGTCAGCGCCACGACGTTAACTGCAAACCATTTGTTGGTGCCAAAGCCTTATCCGCACGTGTTCCTGGTGAGAGTGTCCAACCACAACAGCTGCCCGATGTTTTCACAGATCACTCTCGAACTACGGTATTCCGGTGCTGCTCGGTTCGTGTGTCGGCTAGGCTACCCAGGCGGGGTCTCGTTTCCTCTTCTGACGCAGTTTACCTTCCCTTCTTACAGGAATCTCATGTACGGTGTAGTGAAGCTCATGAAGGTCGTGGGGCAGCTCTCGGATAAGTTTTACTACACAGACTGTCTCTTTTTCGGAGCCATCATCTCTGCCACTGACCCAGGTATTTTGCACATATTGGCTTCGTCATTCTGATATTCTAGTAGTTACATCTTAAAACGTACAGAGCGATCGTTAACTCTGGTTGCGGTACAGAGACTAAATAGAAGTAGCACGGAATGGTGGAGGAAGAGACCGGAAGTGGTCTAACAGAGGTAGATGGCTTTTGTAAGAAGGGTGTGCGTTTCCCTTTTATTTCTTTTTTTTAATTTTTAAAAATTTATTTGTTATGAGGTTGGGTACATGGGAGTAGGGGACGGGGCAGAGAGAGAGCATCCCAAGCAGGCTCCCGGCTGTCATTTTGCACCGCTGGAACTCTGTACCCGTTAAACAGTGACTCCCCCCGTTTGCACCTCCCTCCAGTCCCTGGTAACCGACCATCCTGCTTTCTGAACCTGTGACTTCGACTACCGTAGATATGTTAGAGAAGTGGAATCGTACAGCGCTTGTCTTCTTGTGCTGGGCTTATTTCACTCAGCGTAACATCTTCAAGGTTCATTTCTGTTGTCGCAGGTGTCAAAGCTGAATAATATTCCATTGTGCATATATACCACGTTTTGTTTATCTGTCCATCGGCAACGGGACACTTGGGTTGCTTCCACCTGTATTTCTTTCCCTTTTGTCTTTCATTTCAGAATGTCTAATGTGGTCATAATTTCCGCACCAAGACGGTCTTCTTCCTCCGTGGCTTGCCTTTGGCCTCATTTAGGAAATACATCATTTCTTTTTTTTTTTTTCTTTAATGTTTATTTATTTATTTTTGAGAGACAGAGAGAGAGAGAACGCACAAGCAGGGGAGGGCCAGAGAGAGAGGAGACACAGAATCCGAAGCAGGCTCCAGGCTCTGAGATGTCCGCACAGAGCCCGACGCGGGGCTCGAACTCACGAACCGTGAGATCATGACCTGAGCCAAAGTCGGACCCTCAACTGACTGAGCCACCCAGGTGCCCCGGAAATACATCATTTCATTTAAATAAGGCCTTTTCTTGGGGCGCCTGGGTGACTCAGTCGGTTGAGGGTCAGACTCTTGATTTCGGCTCAGGGTCATGTCGGGCTCTGTGCTGAGCGTGGGTCCCGCTTAGGATTCTCTCTCTCTCTCTCTCTCTCTCTCTGCCCCTCTCCCCCACTGGCACTCTCTCTCTCTAAAATAAAATTAAAGGGGCGCCTGGGTGGCGCAGTCGGTTAAGCGTCCGACTTCAGCCAGGTCACGATCTCGCGGTCCGTGAGTTCGAGCCCCGCGTTGGGCTCTGGGCTGATGGCTCAGAGCCTGGAGCCTGTTTCCGATTCTGTGTCTCCCTCTCTCTCTGCCCCTCGCCCGTTCATGCTCTGTCTCTCTCTGTCCCAAAAATAAATAAACGTTGAAAAAAAAATTTTTTTTTTTAAAATAATAAAAAATAAAAAATAAAATAAAATAAAATTAAAAATAAATAAGCCCTTTTTGTAGTGGAAATGTACTCTGGTACCACTGGAGTGAATGTAATGTTATTTGTAAACTCCTTTGCTCCGTGACCTGGTTCCTATTAATAAATCTCTTACCTTGTATTTTTCAAGCGTTAGTTGAGCCAGTTCTTAAAAGTGGAATTATTATATGCCCCCTTCCTCCGCAGCTCAAAAACAAACAGAAACCCTCTCCTCTCAAAGGTAGAACCTACAATTAAATCAGTTCGCATAAAGTAGTCACAGCTATTCCTTCCTATAATGTCAACCCCCGAGAGTACATCGTAGGCAAAGAATTTGCAGAGACATGGTGGAGGCCCAAGAGTGGCGGTGGAAAGGCCCGCTAACCTTCTGGACAGCAGTGATTTTAAAGCTACTAAGATTCTCCCTACCACACAACTGCACCACCTCTCGGGGGAGTCCCTTAGGTCAGTGCGATGGTGGAAATGTTCTATGTTCTGTGCCCAGTCCAGTATGGTAGCCAGTAGCCACATGTGGCTATTGAGCACTTAAAATATGGGGTAATGCAACTGAAGAACCGATTTTAAAATTTTATTTCATGTTAAGCAACTTAAATAGCTACCTGTGCCCAGTGGCTACCATATTGGGTGGCACGGCCCTAGACAGTCGTATGGGTCTGAAAAACATCACTGTTCCAAAACCATTGACCTCTCTTAGCCCCATAACTTATTAAAAGCACTAAGCAAATTGATATCGAAGGCTTGGCTGGTTGAAGCACCCTGGTTTTTGAGAAAGAGCGCGGGGTGTGGAGTTACAGGGGTAAGTTTGAGCTCCAGCCCTGCCAGTCACTGACCAGGGTGGCATGGGCACACTTTCTCTGCTCCATGTCAGTTGCTGCATTCATGAGGAAGGAGTAATGATATCTATTTCCCAGGGCTATTGCGAATAGTAAATGAACTAACAGGTATAAAGCACTGACCATAGCATCTGCTAATCACGTTGGTCTCTATCCACATCTGGCTCAGGCAGAAATTTCCTTGTTTTCCCCATTTAAAAAAAAAAATGGTCTCTCCTTTTGGTTTCGCTATCCCGGTTCTGTTTTGTTTTGTTTTTAAGCTTATTTCTTTTTTTTTTTTCAACGTTTTTTTTTTTTATTTATTTTTGGGACAGAGAGAGACAGAGCATGAACGGGGGAGGGGCAGAGAGAGAGGGAGACACAGAATCGGAAACAGGCTCCAGGCTCTGAGCCATCAGCCCAGAGCCCAACGCGGGGCTCAAACTCACGGACCGCGAGATCGTGACCTGGCTGAAGACGGACGCTTAACCGACTGCGCCACCCAGGCGCCCCAAGCTTATTTCTTTTTGTAGCCATCTCTACACCCAACATGGGACTCGAACTCATGACCCTGAGATCAAAAGTTGCGTGCTCTACCAACCAAGCCAGCCAGGCACCCCCCCTCTAGGTTTTTTTATTTTATTTATTTTTTTTTTATTTTTTTTTAACGTTTATTTATTTTTGAGACAGAGAGAGACAGAGCATGAATGGGAGAGGATCAGAGAGAGAGGGAGACACAGAATCTGAAACAGGCTCCAGGCTCTGAGCTGTCGGCACAGAGCCCGACGCGGGGCTCGAACTCACGGACCATGAGATCATGACCTGAGCCGAAGTCGGACGCTTAACCAACTGAGCCACCCAGGTGCCCCTAGGACATTAACTTTAACTACTTTTTAGTGGAAATCTTTCTGAAATGTCGACACAGGTTTCCAAATCGGTGATCGGTGGCGCCAGTAATTTTCTAGTCGCATCACCCGGGCTGCCCAGTCAGTCTCTTGCTTGTCTTTTGAGGCTCAGGTCCCATCTGCCACCTGCCTACACGCACTCCCCTACCTCCTCCAGTGACTCGCGCCCACGGCTCTTGAGTCGAGCCTATTTTGTACTTAACGCTACTCACCACTGTGTACTGAGGGTTTGCAAGTGCTAAGTGCCCTTTAGTACACACGTGAAGTGTTCAGGCCAAGTTAGTCGAAGGAACAAATCCCGGTTCTTGATTTTCCCTTCTTCCTCTGTCTGCTCTTTTATTTTACCCCCGCTACTTTTTAGATACCCGTACCAGAGGCCTTCGGTCAACTACTCGTCATTCCTTAGTCCGCGCCCGGTTAGAAACAGCTGTTGTGATCCTGCTGTCCCTGATTTCGGGGGTCCCACTGTACAGGGGAGCAGTCTGTTTACTCCCCGCCTTGAGAGGCCACTCACGCAGTATGTCACCCCCGCCCCGTCATCTTCTGGTGGTCCATACCCACAGTGCTCCTTCCTCTTGGCCGTGCACAGGCTTGCTCAGAAGGGGCACTGCGGGGTTCGTGCCTTGTTTTATAAAGTGACGGGCGGGGAGGATGAGAGACTGAAAACCAGAGCAGCCACATTCAGAGCAGGGCTGTGTAAATGTTCATTGTGATTAGTATTAATTATGCAAGCTAGCCTTTATGGTTATGGGTGAGTTAACTGTTGTTTTTTTTTTTTTTTTTTTTTTACTTCCACTAACTAGTATTTTAGGAAAATAGTGTTTAAAGTCAAAAGGGGGGCGCCTGGGTGGCTCAGGTGGTTAAGCATCTGACTTCAGCTCAGGTCATGATCTCCTAGTTCGTGGGTTCGAGCCCCACATCAGGCTCCACGCTGGTGGTACGGAGCCTGCTTGGGATTCTCTCTCTCTCCCTCTTTCTCTCTGCCCCTTCCTCATGTGTGCGCCCTCTCCCTCTCTCTCTCAAAATAAACTGTAAAAAAATTTAAAAAAAAAAAACATTTCTAAAAAGAAAATAAAGTCACGGGGCTTCTGGAAAATCACAGAGCTTAAACCCCCCACTTCACTAAATCTTTGGACTTTGCTGTGTGCTAAGCTCTCATAGCCAGTTGGCGGCTACGTGGGATGGCTCCTCTTTGCCCCTCCAGATTTACTCACCACCCTCCTTTTGGCACCAAGAGGCTGGTTTGTGTGGAAGATTTCAAAGTCCCTTTGCCGGCTGGTTTCTCCTGGGACGTGTCCACAGGGGAGCACCAGTGGGAGACCAGAAGGAGGGTGGAGACATAGACCAGCTCCTGGTTCGGCAGAGTCACGCCTCCTCTGGACCCTCCAGGCCGAGGGATGGTATAAAAGCTCCCCGTTTTCACCCGCACGTGCTGTCCTCTCTCTCTTGTGGTTTCCCCACAGTTTGCCCACACTGCTGTAAATAATCCCTTTATTAAACGCTTCTCAAGTTGCTCAGTTCGAGGGTGCTGTTTCCTGCCAGGACCCTGATTGATAACGTCCTGGGCCCCACGTCTCCTGGGCTGCCCATCCATTGAGACCAGCCTCTAGCAGTCTTGCGTCCCTGAGTGACTGGTGTGACCACAGGCCTCCGGTGCCAGCCCCCCAGTGGACGTGTCACAGGAATGATGGATAAAACTGCTCCTGCGTTCGACCACTGAGATTTTAGGAGTTTGGATGCTGTAGCAGAAAGCAGCCCATCAGACCCGTTTTCTCATCTCTGAATTAGCGGAAATAATAATACTGCCCACCTAGGGTTTTGTGAGGCCTAAATGACACTGTCCAGTGTTCAGCAGAGGGGCGCCTGGGTGACTCAGTCGGTTGAGCATCCGGCTTCGGCTCAGGTCACGATCTCGCAGTTCGTGAGTTCCGGCCCTGCGTCGGGCTCTCTGCTGTCAGTGCAGAGCCCGCTTTGGGTCCCCTGTCCCCCATTCTCTCTGCCCCTCCCCCACTCTTGCTCTCTCAAAAATAAGTAAGCATTAAAAATAACGTTTAGCATAGTGCCTGCTTCATGGTAAGCCCTTAGTAATTGTGGTTTATTATTATTAGCATTGTTAATTTTTCTTTCGTATTGGGTTAAAACAAGATAATTCTTGGGGCGCCTGGGTGGCTCCGTTGGTTAAGTGTCCACCTCTTGATTTCAGCGCATGTCACGATCTCACGGTTCATGAGATCGAGCCCTGCGTCTGGCTCTGCACCGACATGGCAGAGCCTGCTTGGGTTTCTCCCTCTCCCTATCTTTCTGCCCCTCTCCTGTGCTCGCTCTCTCTCTCTCTCTCTCTTTCTTTCTCAAAATGAACAAACTTTTTTTTAAAAAGAGAGTTCTTGTCACAGAGTGATGAGGTACTAGAATAAAGGTTTTGTGTTAGAGTTCTTCACAGAAACAGAATATATAGGTGTGTGTGTGTGTGTATGTGTGTATGTGGAGAGAGAGAGAGAGGGAGAGAGAGAGAGAGAGAGAAAAGAGATTTATTGGTTATAAAGAATTGGCTTCTGTGATTATGGAGGCTGAGAAGTCCCCACATCTGCTGTCCAGAGGCCTGAGAACCAGGAAAGCCAATGGCGTAGTCCCAAGCCGAGTCCAAAGGCAGGAGATTTCTGCCTTCAACTGAAGTGTTAATCTCATCCCAAACCTCACAGACAAACCCAGAATAATGTTTAATCAAATATCTGAGGTCCCCATGGCCCAGTCAGGTTGGCCCATAAAATTAACCAGCACAGATTTTCTCTAAGGAGCCACAGATACTGTTCATGCAGTAAATAATCCAGGGGCGCCCGGGTGGCTTAGTCGGTTGGTTGAGGGTCCGACTCTGGATTTCGGCTCAGGGCATGATCTCACAGTCGTGAGATCTAGCCCTCGGTCGGGCTGTGTGCTGGGTGTGGAGCCTGCATGGGATCCTCTCTCTCCCTCTCCCTCTGCCCCTCCCCAACTCATACTCTTACAGTAGATAGATAGATAGATAGATAGATAGATAGATAGATAGATAGATAATCCAGAAAATAAGATGTTTTCAGTCAAATCCCTAAAGATTTTTTCCTATTGTGTCACCCAGTAAACTGTATTTAAGGGTGGAGGAAAGAGATTGACATGTCCTCTAGGAACTGTGGCTTCTGGTAGTGCCCCCCTGTTGATGTCCCGCTACTGTTTGAACGGTTAGAGTAGCGATTGGAGCACGGAGGGGCATCATTGCCTGGGGCAGCCTCCGGACACAGTCAACATCTTTCATATCCACATCACTTCTTTCTTCCCCTCTACAAATGAATTAAACTTACTTGAAAAGGAAAGCACGACAGGGAGAGTGTAGTTTGGGAATCTTCCTTAACCCCTAACAGAAATAGAGAAAGCAGGAAAGCAAAAGGAAAACCAGAGCTCCAGCTAGCTGACGGAGGGCCCATGAATCCCCAAATATTGAACTGCCAGCAGCAGGGGGACTTAGGGATCCGAACAGCAGCTGTACAGGAGGAAGCAGAGGTGAGAATAGGAGGGAACTTTCCTACAAGTATTCACCCTCAAAAGGAGGGGTCCCCGCCTGGAGTAAAGAACTTTGTAGGCATATCGGATAACAACCGTTACAGTTGGGAGGTGCTTTACAGGCTCTGATTTGTGGTTGACAACGGGCGAGGACACTGGAGGAGGTGTGAGGCTGCTAGAGAGACCTGAGCCCTCAGGGCTCTCAAAAAAACACCCGGTGAAAATCTCTCTGGAAGGACAGAACCACTCCCTAAAAATGAACCGCTGGGACCACGGACCCTGCTTGACAGGGCATTAAAGGAGAAAGCAAGCTCAGATGCCAATAGAACACAGAGGAAGTGGATTTCATTGAATATTGAGGAGGTGGCGGGGCGCCTGGGTGGCTCAGTTGATTAAGCGTCCGACTCCCAGCTCAGGTCATGATCTCGCATTCGTGGGTTCGAGCCCCGTGTCGGGCTCTGTGCAGACAGCTTGGAACCTGGAGCCTGCTTCGGACTCTGTGTCTCCCTCTCTCTCTGCCCCTCCCCTGCTTGCGCTCTGTCTCTCTCTCTCTCTCTCTCTCTCTCTCTCTCTCTCTCTCAAAAAAATAAACACAAAGAAAATTATTGAGAGGGTGGCTACCCTCAGGGGCCATATTTTCAATGTTTCAATGTAAAACCAGCAGAGGGAGCCCTAGAACCATGAAAGGAGAAAAACTATTCTGGGTCTTCCCATCTCACCTAACAGCGAGCAGTAGACACAGATTGGTGAATCGGACGCAAGCATGTTGTAAGAAAAAAAAATGAAGATCACCCTTCCAAATAATAAAGTTGCAGATAATTAAGTCGTATCAGCAAAATCGGGTACCAAAGCACACTAAGACTAATATTCCAATAGAAGCTAAAGGAAATTGAGAAAGCGATAGAGGTTATGAAAGAACTGTATATCTCAGGATTGGAAAATTCAGAAATTAGAGGGGTAAAACAGTGGAGCATTATGGAAAGAGTTGACAGGAAGAAACAGACAAGGAACCCGGGCAGTAAACGAGATGTAAAAAAGCATTAAAAAAAAAATAAATTTAGGGGAACCTGGGTGGCTGTTAGTTGAGCATCCAACTCTTGATTTCGGCTCAGGTCATGATCCCAGGGTCATGGGATCGAGCCCGGCATTCGGCCCCATACTGAGCGTGGAGCCGGCTTGGGATTCCCCCTTTCTCCCTCTGCCCTCTCCCCGGCTCACGCGTGTTTTTTTTTTTTTTTTTTTCTCTTTCTCTCTCTCTCAAATAAAAAAAATAATAATAAGGGGCACCTGGGTGGTTTAACGTCGGTTAAACGTCCAACTTCAGCTCAGGCCATGATCTCGCATTTCATGGGTTCAAGCCCCACGTCGAGCCCTCTGCTGTCAGCGCAGATCCTGTCTCCCTCTCTCTGCCCCCCACTCACTTGTGCTCTCTCTAAAATAAAATTTAAAAAAAGCAGAAGGTAGTTGGGGTGTGAATGTTGAGAAGCTTTCAGGGGGTCTGCATAAGGTCCAAGCTGATTTAATAATAGTAAAACGTTATTTGTCTTTCTTAATGTCCATTTTTTTCATGACCGTGCAGTATTGTGGAGTTTCCCAGAGGCTACATAACATGTAGTGCTGACTATCTGTTGATCGGACACAGAAACATAAGAGAATCATCTGTCTCCCGTTAATCTGGATAGTAAAGAGATTTGAAAAACTGTAGAACAGTGGCTCTCTTCTCACTAAGTTTGTTTTGTTTTGGAAAATATAATTATTTTTCGTTACACACACGGACGTTAACATATGATGGGTTCGTTAGTAATTTTAAGTGCATAAGTATTTAAATTTTTGTTTTACTTAATACAGTAACTATCGATAGCTATAGCCCACAAAACTAAAGGTTGCCAGGTGCCTCAATAATCCTTAAGAGTATAAAGGAGTCCTGAGACCAAAAGTTTGAGAACTGCTCATCTGGAGAATAGCTGCTTTTTATTCATTAAAATTTTTTTAAATTTTTTTTAATGTTTATTTTCTGGAGAGAGAGAGAATGAATGAATGAATGAATGAGTGAATGGGGGAGGGGTACAAAGAGAGGGAGATGTGGAATCCAAAGCAGGCTCCAGGCTCCAAGCTGTCAACACAGGTCCCGACGCAGGGCCCGAACCCACGGACCACAAGATCGTGACCCAAGCTAAAGTCGGACACCCAACCACTGAGCCACCCAGGTGCCCCTAAAAATTGTTTTTAATGTTTGTTTGTTTTTGAGAGAGAGACACAGCATGAATGGGGTAGGGACAGAGAGCAAGGGAGACACAAGATCCAGAGCAGGCTCCAGGCTCCGAGCTGTCAGCACAGAGCCCGACGCTGGGCTCGAACTCATGAACCATGAGATCATGACTTGAGCCGAAGTCTGGCGCTTAATCAACTGAGCCACCCAGGCGCCCCTGGAGAATAGCTGTTTTTTAAATGTCTAAGACATGTCAAGACTATGAGCTATGACAGACATCTGCTCTGTCATAAAAGAAGACTTCCATTATCTCACAGACCTTTACTAAAGCCTTCTCCGTACCTATACTGGGTTCTGGGGACGCGGTGGTCAATGAAACAAGGTTTTTGCCTTCAAAGAGATTTCAACCCACCAGTGGAGCCAGATCACATGAACTGTGATTATTTTTCTTAAGTTCTGGAATAGCGGTATTTTCAAAGCATGATGGGATTGCGGTAGAAAGCGCATAGTCGCAGTGCAGTGTTACTAGAATCAAGCACCACATGAGACCTCATCCAGACCAGGAAGACTGTCATTTTCATTTATCCCGCAGATACACAACCTGTCCTTGACTCCCTTACTGTCTCCCAAACCACCCTGTCCCGCCAAAGGCAGGAATTGCCTCTCTGCATTTGTCATCAGTGGCTTAAAGTCAGAAACTGAAACGAATTTATTTGCTTTGTGCTCATTTTTAGTGACCGTACTGGCGATATTTAACGAACTGCACGCAGACGTGGACCTCTACGCACTCCTGTTTGGAGAAAGCGTCCTGAATGATGCTGTTGCCATCGTCCTGTCCTCGTAAGTAACAGCATTTCTTCCCCGACGAAGAGAGAGTCTGGCTTCCTGAATGCTCTGGGCCACATTCAGAGGCTTATCTTAAAAGCGTTCAACATTGAACTGGCTAGTTTTTTTTCAAATGAGGTTTTATCAGGTTGGTCGATAAAAGTTATGTTGCTTTGTCTGCTTGGCAGCAATCTGAATGCTGATACCAGCGTGACAGGATGGCTGTGGATGAAATGAATTATACCACGGGGAGTGCTCGGCAGAGTGTAGATGCCTATGTTTGTGGGTATTTTGGGGGACCGGGGTGTAAAGACAGTGCACTCCGTTTTAACTCTCTCTTCTGTTTAAATCCCAGGTCTATCGTTGCCTACCAGCCAGCGGGTCTGAATACTCATGCCTTTGATGCTGCTGCCTTTTTTAAATCAGTGGGCATCTTCCTAGGTATATTCAGTGGCTCTTTTACCATGGGAGCCGTAACTGGCGTCGTGACGGCTCTAATATCCTTTTGGTGGTCATCGTGCCCACCCCGGGTAGGATCGTGTGCTGTCGCGCTCGCGACAACAAGGTCTCGGTTCTCCCTTTCAGAGGTGGATTTTTTTTTTTTTTTTCTGCAGGATCCCGAAATGGGTCCCTTTGGTCAAACGTGACCGTCGAGGGTGTAGCTAAGAGTCCAAGAAAAGGTTGGGGAGTGTGACTCTGGCCGAAGCTCGGTGCCCCCCCTTTGCATTGGCTCCCTGCTGTGAACCAGTTGGGGATGCGAGTTCAGGGAAAACATTGGCTTTAGGGGGTGGTGCTGAAAAGAGCCAGGAGGAGGCAGGGGGTCAGGGACCACCACACAGGAGGCCGGGAGGGAGCAGGCTGGGAAGTACTTTAGATTCCAGCTCGCCACTGCCACCTACTGTTACGGGTCACGCGGGCTACTGTGGCCGCAACCACCTGCGGCCATTGGTGGGAATTACTGCAAGGTGGCCTCCCTCAAGCGAAGGATGGTATCATCTTGAGTTAAACGCCGACCAAGCGACGTAAAAGCACAGTGTGGAATGAGCAGGCGGCCCCCGGGCAGATGTGCTGAGTCCTTCGTCATATCTTTCGACGGCGCCACTGCCCAGTACAAGGTAACAGGAGCCGCACGTGCCGGCCGCATTGTCTCAGCCTCCGATCATTGTACAAATTATCAATGAGACTTTATACATTCATTTGTATATTAAATCTTTGAGACGTGGCACATATTTTGCGCTTCCCGCGTATCTCAGTTCGGACTAGCCACACGCCACGCATTCAGCAGCCACGTGTGGCTAGCGGCTGCCATATTGGATGGCGCGGATCCAGTTGCTTTCTTCACAGAGGCCCTTTAGATGCCCCGGGGACTTCCACTGTTCGGTGAAAGCACTCGTGAGATAGTTCCGTGCTGGACCACTGTGGAAGGGCAGTGCTATGAGGGCAATCTCTGGTCCCAGAAAGTGACACAAGCACCTTGTCGTTGCCCCTGGGGGTGTGCTTTCTTTTTCTTTTTCTTTTTTTTTTAGTGTGTCATGCCTTCATGAGACGCCTGCTGTGAACTCTGGTCATGGTGGCCCACAGAGGTCAGAGTCTCACTGGCCTACTCTCCCCCGGCCTGCCTGTGGTTACCGCCCTCCCCCCCCCCCAACCCCGGCACTGCTAAGACTGACCTGCCAGTCACCCCTCAGGCCAAGATCGTGCTCCTCAGAGCCAGGGGGCATTGCAAAGAGCACAGAAGACCTCTTTCTGGTTTCCTTAGAAAGTTCAATTTCTAAAGACAGCTTTATTAAGATAAAATTCACATACCATGCCATTCACCCCATTTGGTTTTCGGTATGCTACATTATCGGTTTGTTTGGTTTTTTTTTTTTTTAATTGCGATAAAATACCTATAACACAATTTGCCCCCGTAACCACTTTTCAGTGTCCACCTCGGTGGCATTACGTGCATCCACATTGTGTAAGCATCCCCTCTGTCTGTTTTCGGAACCTTTGCATCATCCCAGACAGAAACCGTGGACCCAAGAAACGGTATCCCGCTTTCTCCTCTCTCCCAGCCCTCAGTAACCTCTTTCCTGCTAGAAAGAACTCAGTTTTTATGACTTTAAGAACCGAGCAGCAGCTGTGGGGCCCCCAAAAGAAGTGTTGGAGGGAAAGGGAGGGGGAGGGGAGTCCCGGGCTGATGGAGCGTGGTTCTTGGTGGCCCTGATAACTTGTTCCTGGAGCCAAGTTCCTTGACGGGGGGCCCACGTGACCAAGTTCACCAAGCTGCACTGCTTCCCCCTCCTGGAGACGGCACTCTTCTTCCTGATGTCCTGGAGCACGTTCCTTTTGGCGGAAGCCTGTGGCTTTACAGGTGGGTTCACACTACCCTTGGGCTGCCCTTCCCCTTACTGTAGCGGGGGCTGTGTTTCAGTGCTGTGTTTTTATGACGCCAGTTTCATGAATTATTAGTGTAAGTAACTGTGTGGTTTTAGCACCTCACAATCTCTCGTCAAAAAAGAAAAGAAAAGGAAAGAAGGAAGGAAGGAAGAAAAGAAAGAAACAAAAGAAAGAAAAGAAAGAAAGAGAAGGAAGGAAAGAAAGAAAAGGAAGGAAGGAAGGAAGGAAGGAAGGAAAGAAAGAAAGAAAGAAAGAGAAAGAAAGAATATCACAGGAGCACCTGAGTAGCTCAGTCGGTTAAGCGTCTGACTTCAGCTCAGGTCATGATCTCACAGTTTGTGGGGTCGAGCCCCGCGTCAGGCTCTCTGCTGACAGCACAAAGCCCACTTCGGATCCTTTGTCCCCCTCTCTCTCTGGCCCTCCGCTGCTCGCTCACTCTCAAAAATAAATAAACATTTTTATTAAATCCCTGAAATTTTCCACTAGAAAATCAAGTACAATTACTATACATGAGCCAGGTAGTTGGGGGAGCCCTTTTATCCTCTTTTCAAAATAGTGCAACGTGCATTTATAGGCAGCATTGTAAAATATCCCAGTTCTTTAGAACTTGACAGTTATCTGTAAATGTATAGGCAAAGGCCCCCGTGTCAGCTGTCTTGCACAACAAAATGGTTACCATTAATCAGAAATCGAGGTAATGAAGGCTCGGATAAATGGAACGGTACTCTGGATCCATTTGGTCTCAAGCCCTAGACGAGGCAAAAACAGAAAGCGTTTGCCTGGAATGAAAATCCCTGGCTTCTGAGAACCGAGAGGAACAGGACAAAAGGGCATGATGGGCCCTCAAGGCCTCTCTGAAGAAATGAATGCTAAATGCCAAATTCGGGAGCAGTTTAGAGGAGGGGGAGACAATGCCCTTAAAACTGTAGCAAGAAGGGAAGTCAAGGACCTTGGCTTTGAAGGCGGGCAGAATGAGAAGAAGGAAAGGTTGGTAGGAGTGGTGGGGGCAGGGGGAACCTTCAGGAATAGGAAACTTTTCCCAACTGTTCTAGTAGCTGGATATGTTGGGCCTACGCTGACTTTTTTGTTTCAGCGGGGATTTTTTTCCTGCCTTTTTTTTTTTTTTCATCATTGATTTTTTTTTTTTTTTTTTTTTTAAAAACCCCTCCCCAGGCGTTGTGGCTGTCCTTTTCTGTGGCATCACGCAGGCTCATTACACCTACAACAATCTGTCGGTGGAATCAAGAAGTCGAACGAAGCAGGTGAGAGCGGGCCCTGGGTCCTCACGAGTGCCCTGTGACTAGCAGGGAGGGGGCCCACACGACTTATGGCTTCCTTTCCCCTTTCTGTGCAGCTCTTTGAGGTGTTACACTTCCTGGCAGAGAACTTCATCTTCTCCTACATGGGCCTGGCTCTCTTTACCTTCCAGAAGCATGTCTTCAGCCCCGTTTTCATCATTGGAGCTTTTGTATCCTTTTTTGTGTGTGTGTGTGTGTGGTTCTGCTGTTTGCTGTGTGGACAGGCGACCGCCGCTGGGGAAGCTAGTTCATGGTGTTTTCATGATGAGAAAAAAGAAGGCTTACGTGGGTTCGCAGACCTAAACGTATTTCAGGATCTGCATCAGTCCCCGAATCATTTTTACTTCAGTGCTGCACGAATCCCAATCCAGGAGGTTCCCAGTTCCAAAGACCCGAAGGTTCTGTTAGTCTTGCTCCCAGCCGCACATGAAGCCCACAGGCGTTATAAGCACGCTTTCATGGGAGCATCCCTACCGTGACAGCTCACTGTGGAAAAGACGTTTCCCAAGGGGGGGAAAAAAAAAGGAAAGGAAGAGACCACAAAATAGAAAAATACTCATTTCCTTGACTCAGTTCCACTGTGAGCACAGTTTTTGGAAGAGAGACACAGTTTAGGGGATTGGCTTCTCTCAAGTCAGGAGGGCCTTGGAACTGGAGTGATCTAGCTCAGCCTGGAGCTGGAGTCCCCTATTGCTGGGCATTTGCACTTGCCTTTTACTTTTGTAAGAAAATTTTTAATGTTTATTATTTATTTTGAGAGAGAATCCAAAGCAGGCTCTGGGCTCTGCGCCGTCAGTGGAGAGCCCGGCGCGGGGCTCGAACCCGCGAACCGCGGGATCATGAGCCGAGCCGAAGTCGGACGCTCAACCGACTGAGCCACCCAGATGCCCATACTCTTGCCTTTTCTGAGGCCTCGTGGGTAACCTTAAAAAAAAAAAAATAGGAGTGTTTTTCTCTTCTGGGCTTTTCGTTTATGGTGCAGGCATAGCTGACCCTCACTAAGCAGCTAGATAGCGATAAGTGGCCCAATGCCACGTGGAGGCCTTCCAGTTAGAGTGTTAATCGGCTTCCACCGGGGCTCCTTTCTCGGGTTTATACACTCACCAGAGTGACAGCTGCAAATCTAAGGGGATCAGTGTTTTTATTCTCGATTCAGAAAGACCTCCTCACATGCCTCCTGGATTTGTATTCCTGGCACAGCATCCTGCAAGGGATAGTGAGAGCACCGCCCTTGTTTGCAGATGAGGGCCTCGCGGGGGGGGGGGGGGCGGGCAAGACGGGTCCCCTGGGAATCTCAAAGGCCACTTCCCACTGGAGGACGGTTGCCTGGCTTCTGGGATGGAATCGAGCTTTCCGAGCACTACCTGCTTTCCTGCCATTCTAAACAACACAACACAGCACAACACAACACAACACCAAAGGAGAAAACAAAAACAAAAAAAAAAAGCTAAAAGCAGAAAAACAGTCCGTCCTTTACCCTGGAGAAGGCAGAGGACAGTTCCGCCCTGGCTTCTGTCTGAAACAGCTGCGGCCCTGGGCAGCTGGCACTCAGCTAGAACGGAAGCTCCCGGTCCCCACGGGTCCCATGGCAGTTTCCTCCTGTAACCACGGCTCCCTGCCGGGCTCTGTTCTCCACTCAGCGAGTGACGAATGGCCCATTTCCCTGAATTTTTTGCTTGCCACACTCCTCTGCCTCCATGGGCTCACGCCTCCAAAAAGACATCTGAGCCACCTGGGTAGAGACATCTACCCCCTCTTGAGTCTTGGGAGGGACATGAATGCATCTGAAGTGTCCCAAGTGCTCCCAAGTTTCCGCACCTCTTAGCCGTAGCATCTTCCTGGTCATTTCGAGCCCCTCCTATTTACTTCTGACTAAAGCTTATGAGCTCTTGACCCACGGGTTAGAGATTTGTTCTTCTCGTGACTTTCCTTCTTCTTTTTTTTTTATTTTTTTATAAATTTTCTTTAATGTTTTATTTATTTTTGAGACAGAGAGAGACAGAGCATGAACGCGGGAGGGGCAGAGAGAGAGGGAGACACAGAATTGGAAGCAGGCTCGGAGCCATCAGCCCAGAGCCCGACGCGGGGCTCGAACTCACGGACCGCGAGATCGTGACCTGAGCTGAAGTCCGACGCTTAACCGACTGAGCCACCCAGGCGCCCCATGACTTTCCTTCTTCTAACGGAGCCCAAGCCACTGTTTGCTCCTCTCAACTCCCCACCCCTGCCAGGGCTCCTCAGCTTAGGTGTAGATAGGGGGGAGACTTGGTCCACACCTGCTTAATGAAATCAAGAAGTTCCAACAGTGCGTCTAGCAGGCCAGGCATTACCTCTGTGAGCTAGGAGGTCGGGAAAGGTGGCCACCTGCGTCCTGCTTGTAGCTGACCCGCGTTCCGAGGGCACCGGGTCTAGCCCGGCTGCCTTGCGCATCCCTCCTGATCGTGGTGCGGTTAGCTCCTGGTCACAGGGTGTCCCAGCATTCCTAAAATTCTCTGCTCCACCAGAGGCCGGGCGAAGCTGCCGTTCTAGAAACCTGTTGGGCCCTTAACCTCCACCTGGTGGTCAGGTTGCCATCTTCCTGGGCCGAGCTGCACACATCTACCCGCTCTCCTTCTTCCTCAACTTGGGCAGAAGGCATAAGATTGGCTGGAACTTTCAACACATGATGATGTTTTCAGGTAAAAGCCCCGGGAACGTAAAGAAAATGAGCTTTCTTCGGCAGGCGTGTCAGCGTGACTAAACTATGATGGATAAGGTTCGTACAAAGAAGTTAAAATTCCTGGTTCTTTTTGCCTTCTCCCACAGTGCTGAGTAGACCGACCTATGCGTCACACAGAGGTAATACCAATTTTGCGAACCATACTACCAAATGTGAACATTCTCCCCTAAAACAGCCGCGTCTTCATGTTTATCTACCGCCCACAGGGCCTGGCGATATAGGAGTATTTAAAGTGCTTGATTGTTTTCTAGTTGATGTTCATAACCCTTAATCTTCCAGAAGGGCTCCAGACTTCAACGTAGAAGGGAGATAGGTTTGTTTTAAAAAAATTTTTTTAATGTTTATTTATTTTTGAGAGAGAGAGAGAGAGAAACAGAGACAGAGCATGAACAGGGGAGGGGCGGAGAGAGAGGGAGACACAGAATCGGAAGCAGGCTCCAGGCTCCGAGCCGTCAGCACAGAGCCCGACGCGGGGCTTGAACTCACAGACCGCGAGATCATGACCTGAGCCAAAGTCAGACGCTTAACTGAGTGAGCCACCCAGGTGCCCTGGGAGATGGGCCTTTAATGAGAAAGAACACAGGCCACATCACTCAGTACCTCCCAGCTGCAGTATCCACTCTTGGAAAATAATGAAATTGAGCTAATTGTTGAGCTTCCTCCTAGCTCCAACTTCCCGTGAGGCAAAAAATAAAATTCACTTGAGTAAGCAAAGATGAGCCCCAAACCGGAAGTTAATGGCCGTGATAATTCTGCTTGATTTATACTGTCTCCCAGATGCCCCCCTCTCCACTCTAAAGCTGAGAAGTGTGCAGAAGCCGCTGAGGCGAGAAAGGACAGAAAATAGTGGACATATTTTAAGTTTATCTTGGTGAATGAGTTCTCTCCAACTCATCTTGCTCTTCTCCACCAGAGCTGTCTGTCTGTCTGCCTCTCTCTCTCTCTATTTGCCCCTCCCCTGCTTGTGCTCTCTCCCTCAAAAATAAATATTAGAAAAAAGAAAGTTCTTTTAAAAAATTTTTAACATTTATTTATTTTGGGGGGGGGGCAGAGGGGCAGAGAGAGGTAGACACAGAATCCGAAGCAGGCTCCAGGCTCTGAGCTGTCAGCACAGAGTCCGACCCGGGGCTCGAACTTACGAACCGCGAGATCATGACCTGAGCCAAGAGTCAGTAGCTTAACCGACTGAGCCACCCAGGTACCCCCTTCCCCCCTAAAAGAGAAAGTTCTAAAAGAGAAAGTTCTAGGGGCGCCTGGGTGGCGCAGTCGGTTGAGCGTCCGACTTCGGCCAGGTCACGATCTCGCGGTCCGTGAGTTCGAGCCCCGTGTCAGGCTCTGGGCTGATGGCTCAGAGCCTGGAGCCTGTTTCCAATTCTGTGTCTCCCTCTCTCTGCCCCTCCCCCGTTCATGCTCTGTCTCTCTCTGTCCCAAAAATAAATAAACGTTGAAAAAAAAATTAAAAAACAAAAACAAAAAATAAACAAAAAAAAATAAAATAAAATAAAAGAGAAAGTTCTAGTGGAGAAGAGCAAGATGAGTTGGAGAGAACTCATTCACCAAGATAAACTTAAAATATGTCCACTATTTTCTGGACTAAAAGGCAGTACACAGTGCTGTTTAAAGGCATCTCCTATAAAGATTATTTCCTGCTGGGAACAATGTCGCCATCAAAAGGAACTCCAGACAATGCAGCACACGTTGTCTCTCCCTGACCCCTAACTTTTCTTCTTTGAGACAACATCCCTTTAGAGGCCAAAGTATTCATCGGTGACGAAGCTGGCTATAGGGCAATCTAGATGTGTGTGTTATTTCCCAAGTATGGATTAATAGAAAACATTAACTTGGCTCTGTTTTTTAACGTAACTCTTTTTTAAAGTTTATTTATTTATCTCGAGAGAGAGAAAGAGAGAGAGCAAGCAGGGGAGGGGCAGTGAGAGAGGGAGAGGGAATCCCAAGCAGGCTCCGCACTACCCGAACAGAGCCCAGGGCGGGGCTCGAACTAACGAACTGCGAGATCATGACCTGAGCTGAAAGCGAGAGTCGAATGTTTGCTTTACCAGCTGAGCCACCCAAGTGCCCCTTTGACGTAACTTTTTTGAATCATGTTTTAGTGAATTGTGAAGTTCGCAGATGAGGGAATTTACCAAACTGTTAGGAAAGGCGGGAGAATATGCAAACAGGTACAGTGGGTATTGCTTTTTATTCTCTCATATAATATACACAGTCTGGCCAAAGGTGAATAGGAACTTATACCAGATTTTAAGCAAACAGCATTTTATTAAATGTAATTAAAATCTAGCATAAGATGAAAATATGAGAACTCGCATAAAAGGAGAACAAATATTTGTGAATATATATTAACCCGGGTGGCTCAGTCAGTTGAGCGTCTGACCTTGGCTCAGGTCATGATCTCCAGGCTTGTGAGTTCGAGCCCCGCGTCGGGCTTTGTGCTGACAGCTCGGAGCCTGCTTCGAAGTCTGTGTCTCCCTCTCTCTCTGCCCCTCCCCCACTCGCTCGTGCTCGCTCTCTCTCTCTCTCTCAAAAATAAATAATAAAACATTTAAAAAAATTCACTGCTGTTTCAGTTCCTTTGTGAGTGTTACACTCTGTAGGTCACAGCATCTGCTCTGAAACTTAAACGCAAAGGTGAATATACTTAACTGCGTACATTTAATTTCTATCTCCCAGGGTTGTTTTTTTAGGATAGTTGACACATAGTGTTATATTAGTTTCAGATGTCCAATATCATGACTCAACTTCATTCCAGGCTATGCTGTACTCACCGTGTGTTTGGCGCTTAGCCTTAATACCCGTTAATGTAGAAAAAGGGCCAGCAGACTACATCCCCTGGGCCAAAGCTGGCCGTTGCATATTTTCATATACTCCACGGCTAAGAGTGGCTTTTACAGGTGGACATTTACAATCTATTTGACGATAGAGGACACTAACTTTGAAGTCCAATTAAGTGAAATATAGTCCTCCAAAAGAATTACCTATATCACAACACATTATACTGTGTTGTTATTATTCTCTTTTTGGTTTTTGCCCATAAGATTTGGTAGAAATTTGGGTTGGTTTTTTTTTTTCTCTTCTATGTAAGTACCTACAAAATAGCCTTGATTTTTCCTCTTGACCCCCAAAGCCTAAAATATTTATTATCTGACCCTTTACAGAAAAAAATTGCCAACGCTTGACGTAGATCAGGTTGTATTGTTACTTCTCTGTGTAGCTTTGCTAAGGAAATGCTAGGCTGCTCTGTGGGTCCTGGGACACAGATCACAAATATGTATTTGATGTATTCAGACCTAGCCTGTTACTTCAGTTTATAATGAATCACAGACCTAGAGAGCTTATATTCATTAGTTCTTATTTATCTTTCTTTTTATTTCATGTTACTAGCAGGAGAATGATCTCCGTAATAAGAGTGGTATTGTTCTAGAATGTGCCGGACAAAGTAGTGCAGTGTTTTTCTCACCGCATTTGGGCATTTTGCAAAAGAAGACTTCAGACAAGAGAAAACCACATTCCCTTAAGGTCCTTCTTTCTGAATAAGACCGTTTGACTCCCGAAACATACGTGGATGTTATCATTTATTAGCCCCGAGTGGCAGCAACGGATCTGAGGACACATTGTCATCCGCCCTTATAACCAGATCTTCCTCTCTGGTCCCCGCAGGCCTCAGGGGCGCGATGGCATTTGCGCTGGCCATCCGCGACACGGCATCCTACGCTCGCCAGATGATGTTCACGACCACCCTCCTCATCGTCTTCTTCACTGTCTGGATCATTGGCGGAGGCACAACACCCATGCTGTCGTGCCTTAACATAAGGTCAGTTTGAAAGCACGGCCAGTTTTGCGTCTGACTATGTCCCTGTGCTCACACACAGGGGGAGACAGCTCAGTGCATGGAAGGTTTTTACGTTTGTTGTTGTTGTTGTTGTTGTTGTTGTGGGTTTGCGGGAGGGCTTAAAAATAAAAAGCAATAACTGAAAAGTCAGAGTATTGAGTTTTCCATGAGAAAAAGGGTTGCCATGTAAAATGTTTGTGAGTACAGACGCACGGGGCGTTAGAAACACCTGGACCTTGCTGGAACAGCGACAGGGCCAGAATTCAAAAGCCTCAAAGCTGCTGGCAGGGTCTGGCATTTGACATTCCTCTGAAATCAAACCTGCGGCCTTCAAAAGAAGCTCATCCGCTTCAGATGATAACAAGAAATAAAAAGAGGCAATTAGGGTTTTGTTTTTCAGAGGAAACCGTGTCTCCTCTCGCTTGAGTGCACAAAAGAGGCGTGGCATTTCCTGCGTAACCCTTATTTGTTGCAGCCTCATGGATGTCCCCTGCCTGTGGTTTGGCAGCTGTGTCGGGAGAGAGAGCAACTGACCTAAATTTGATTTTGTTTCAAAGAGGGTTTGGATTCCAGAGCATGCTTCTGCGCCCCCAGCTCCTTAGGGGACAGAGGAGCCTGGAGCAGGGGTCAAGAGCCCCAGAGCCTAACCCCGGCTCTGGTTCAAGGCAAGCCCTTCACGTCTTTGGGCCTCGGTTCTCCTGGACGTGAAGTTCTGCCTCCCCGGAGGGGCTCCCCCTCAGTTTTGGGTCTGCAGAGGTTGAATGCGAACAGAAAGACGGAAAGAGGAAAGCACTGAAGCCGTGCTTAGGTGTGAAGGATCCTCCGAAGAGCCACAAGGTGGCACTGTTTCTTCCTTTCTCTCCTGGCCTTTCGTCCCTACTCCCTTCTCTGGAATACAGAGCGCACTGGCCTAACGGTGTCCAGCATATCTACCTTTGGAGGAGAGAGGACCTACAAAGATCTCGTAGTCATCCTTAGGGTGAGGGGGACACGTGGAACTTGGGAGAAAGCTGGAATTTGAGAGAACAGTCTTCCCCCACCATCAGGGACTTTTGTATCGATATGGCGGGCAGGGGTTCCTGGGCTTGGCGCCTGCCAGCCCCACCATTTCTGGGCTAGCGAGTCTCAGCCTCGCATCCTGGTGGGTCTGCAGAACCTAGTGGGGGGGTGGTCAGAGACAGTCGTATCATAGCTCACACTTGCGATGCTGGCAATAACTTGCCCGGTCACAGAGCTTTCAGTCGATGAGCTGGGACTTGAACCCGGGCAGTCTTGCCACACAGTCCACAGCCTTAACCTTAAGAAGGTCGGCTGTGTTAGGGACTGCCGCCGCGTCGTGAAATGGGGGGCGATGAGAAGTTCGATCTCCTAGGCACGAGTCTCTAGGGAAAATAATTCATTGTGGGAATACAAACCTAAAGAAGAAAATGGACAGATTTTTGGCGCTAACTCTGAGACCTAAGACGGTACCATCTTTGTTCTGTGTAAGAATAAGCGCAAGAGAGGAGGCCTGTCCCCCGCACACACTTGAGGATCTTTGCATTCGGTGACCTCCGAGGTGACGTTCTGCTCCTGTTGGGGCACTCCGTAGGTACCCTGGATGCTCAGAGCATCATTTATAAGTCCCCTTTTCCTCCTGCCACCCTCCCGCACCCCACACAGATACGACTGAATACTTTTCCAGTGAGAGTAGAGAGGTGACTGGGGACATTTGGCAGTTCTGGTAACCCTTTTCTAAATCGGGCCATCAAAACTGCCCTACCCAGAGCTGAGAGTGTGGGCAGCTTTCCATGAGGCACACGAGCCGTACGTGTACAAATATAATCACTGTTGTGTTGTGGAAATACTGATGTAACATATAGATAGCACCCAGAACATAGCACACACTGAGGGGCCCGGAAATGAGTGTGTGTGTGAGACCGGGTGTACGAGAGATCTCGTTCCCCCACCTCCTCGCCAGCATTTGGCGTTAACCACCATTTGTCATTGTAGTTGTTCTAACAGGTGGGTGGGGATACCTCCCCGTGGCCTTCGTGTGCATTCCTCTAATGACCGATGATGTTGAACATCTCTTCATGTGCCCATTTGCCATTCATCTGTCTTCCTCGGTGAAACACCTGTTCACACTTTTCATCTATTTTTTAATCAGATTGTTTGGGTTTTTTTTTTTTTATTGAGTTCTGAGTGTTCTTTATTTATTATAGATACTAGTCTTTTCTCAGAGATGTGGTTTGCAAATATTTTCTCCCAGTCTGTAGCTTGTCTTTTAATCCTTCTAGTAGAGTCATCGAAGAACAGAAGTTTTAGTTTTGAGGGAGTGCAGTTTATCTTTTTTTTTCCCTTTTACACATCGTGCCTTTGGTGTTATATGTAAGGACTCTCCGTCAAGCCCTAGGCCATGAAGATTTCCTTCTGTGTTATCTTCTTTTTTTAAAATGTTTATTTTTGAGAGAGAGCAAGTGCATGAACGGGGGAGGGGCAGAGAGAGAGGGAGACCCAGAATCCGAAGCAGGCTCCGGGCTCTGAGCTGTCAGCACAGAGCCCGACGCAGGGCTCGAACTCATGGATGGCGAGATCGTGACCTGAGCTGAAGCCGGACGCTCAACCGACTGAGCCACCCAGGCGCCCCTCTTCTATGTTATCTTCTAAAAGTTTTCTTAGTTCTGTGCTTGACATTTGAGTCTGTGGTCCATTTGGCGTTAATTTTTATATAAGCTGCGAGGCTCAGGTTTAAAGTGTTAAAAAGACAAGTCTTACCCTGTTGGATTACTTTTGCTCCTTTGCCAAAAATCAGTTGGCTCGATGCACGTGGCTTTGTCTGTATTCTGCCCCACTGATGAATGTGGTCACCCCTCCACACTGTCCTGATAACTATGGTTATGTAATAAGCTGTAGCATCAGGTAGAGGGAGCCCTCCCACGTTATTCTTTTTCAAAACTCTCGTAGCTGTTCTCGTTGCTTTGCATATATATTTTAGAAGAAGCCTGTCCATCTCTAAAAAATAAGAAAAAAACCTGGCTGGAATTTTCACAGGGATTGCGTTAAGCCTATAGTAAGTTTGGGGAGAACTGCCATCTCGTTTTCTGTCTTCCAATTCATGAACGCGGCACGTTTCTTCATTTATTCATGGTTTGTGAGATTTGTATCTAAGTACTTCTTCTCTTCTGAGCAATTACAAATGTTATTCTGTCTTCAATTTCAGGCTCCATGTGTTCATTGCTAGGATATAGAAATACAGTGGGTTTTTGTATGTTGATCTCGTATCCTGTGACCTTGCTGGACTCGTTTGTTAGCTCTGGGAGGCTTTTGTTTGGTTTTGTTTATAAATTCTTTGGGATTTCCTACATAGACCATCACATCATTTGCAGACAGAGACAGTTTTATTTCTTCCTTTGCAATCAGTGTACGTTTTATTACCCTTTCTTGCCTTACTGTTCTGGCTAGGACTTTCAATATGATGTCGAGTAACAGTGACATGAGCTGACATCCTGATCTTGTTTCCAGTCGTAAGGGGAAAATATTCAGTCTTTGACCAATAAGTATAATATTAGCTGTAGGGTTTTTGTAGATGTTCCTCATCAAGTTGAGGGAGTTTGTATCTATTGTTAGATTTTTGAGGTTTTGTTGGTTTTTTTTTTTTTTTAATCACGAGCGGATGCTGAAGTTTCGCAAATGCTTTTCCTGTATCTACTGATATAATCGTATGATTTTTCTTGTTTAGCCTGTTAATATGGTGGGTTACATCAATTAGTTAAAATACTTCCCTAAGACAAACCCCACTTGGTCGTGGTGTATGAGTTTTTAATACGCTGCTGAATTCTATTAGCTGTTATTTTGTTAAGGATTTTTGTGGTCTGTGTTCATGAGGGATATTGGTCTGTAGTTTTCTCTTGTTTTGTACTACCTTTGCCTGTTTTTGGTATCAGAGTAATCTGGCCTCACAAAATGAGCTGGGGCATATTCCCTGCTCTTCTGTTTTCTGAAAGAGATTGTGTAGAGTTGGTGTTAGTTCTTTTTGGAAGTTTAATGGAATTCTCGTATAAAATCGTCCGGTCCTGGAGACTTCTTTTTCAGGAGCTTTTAAATTGTGAAGGCAATTTCTTTAATACTTACAGGGCTGTTTGGGGCGCCCGGGTGGCTCCGTCGGTTAAGCGTCTGACTTCGGCTCAGGTCATGATCTCGCGGTCCGTGAGTTCGAGCCCCGCGTCGGGCTCTGTGCTGAGAGCTCAGAGCCTGGAGCCTGCTTCAGATTCTGTGTCTCCCTCTCTCTGCCCCTCCCCCGTTCATGCTCTGTCTCTCTCTGTCTCAAAAATAAATAAACATTTAAAAAAAAATACTTATAGGGCTATTAAGATGATCTGTTTCCTACTGGGTGAATTATGGTAGTTTGCGAAACTGTTGATGTCTGTGAGCTCTACGGTGATATCCCTTGTTTCGCTGCTGATATTGGTAATTTGTATCTTTCTCTTTTTTTCTTTCAGTCTTGCCAGAGGTTTGTCAACTTTGTGGATCTTTTCAAAGAGCTAGCTTTTCACTGCCTTGATTTTCTATATCGTTTTCCGGTTTCTGCCCCTATCTTTATTCTTTCCTTCTTTCTGACCAACTCCACCCAGACAGCGTCATGAAGCAAATTGGTGAAAAATACACATGGCATTAGTTCATTGCATTTTCCTGATGTGTATAAATAGTGATTACGTAAGTGTGGAAACTGACATATGTAGAGATTACACGGAAAGACATTCCCTCACAAATAAACTAATGAGATTGATTGGTTTTTCTGGCCTGTGGCTTGTGATGTTACCTGATGGCCATGAATCATTTATGTGAACCAGGTTCTTATTCTAAATTGAATCAGAAACCCCGTGAAGTTCAGTGTGGGGTTTTGACCTCCGCGACCTCGGTAAACTTAATACCTACTTGTTCCTTACTTCTCTAGGCTGCTGACAGAGGCCCTGATCAGGTGTTAAGTGGCTGCTCAACAT